GTTGGAGGTTGCTGTGAGCTGTAATGCCACGGCACTCTACCCAGGGGGACAGCTTGAGGCTCTGTCTCAAAAAAAAAAAAAAAAAAAAAAATTAACCCAAAGACATGAGTGTACGTGACACTAAAAGTCAGTTTTCCTCTCTACTTAATGTGGACAACTAATATCCTTTTACACTTGGCACCAAACCAGTGACCTCCCCCCCACCGTGCACACACACACACACACACATACACACACACACAAGCAGCACCTCCCTTTCCCTCCCCAAAGTCCAAGATGTTCCAGACAACATAACGAACCACACAGTTGGGAATGATTCATATGTTTCCAGTCTCCATCCAAAAATGAGCAAAAATAGTTTCCACTTAATTTATAATCAGAATTTTCTCCACATTTCCTAAAATATTAAAAGGAAACTATTCAAAATCTAGGCTTTCTTTCTCCAAAAATTACTGATTAGTCACAGATGAAAGTATCTTTTGGTAAAACTGCTTTTGTGTTCCATCTATCCCTGGAGATGAGGGCTATAGCTGCATGATGCCAAATATCTAATCAATTATTCAGAGTTTTCATGTTTTCGGATATTTTCAAATAGCTGGTGTTCTGTAGCTACAGGCTTATTCTATCCAGTCTTTTTGTTATCTCAACAGTACATATGGGTACAGATTTTTCTGTTTGGAATATTTTCTCAAGGCCAATGCCTTATTGTAGTCCCAACACCTGCAAATATTTGGCAGAGATTGTTCTATCCTTTCCATATCCCCCACTGTTTCTACAACCCCACCCCTATCTTTTGCCATTTTAAAGCTGTAAGTTTATACAGTATGTCCTTTCCTTGATTCCATTAATCATTTATCTATGACCCATAAAATGTGAAGTTGCAAGAACATAAAGTTAGGTTTCAAATCACATTTCATGGGAAAAACTTTGGTCCAAAACAAAGTGGCAGTGGGCTACAGTAGAGAGGAGAGTTAACTCTGTCTAGAGTTCCAGTTCCAGCTCTCCTATTACTAATCAGTTCTGTGACTGATCAAATCACTTAACCTATCTAAGTTTCAGTTTATTCAACTTTAAAGTGTAGGGCTTTAACTAGACCAAGTCAAAGGCCCAACATTTTATAAATTTGAGAATTGAAGTCAATGAGATTATTCCTCTCTGCAGCTTTGATATAAATTAGAGTATCACCTTGAATGAAATCAAAAGATAAACAATATGTACAAAATTATAAATATTAGATATAAATAATAACCAAAACAGGCACACAAACCATTGTCAGCATGACTGTCAGTATTACTTGCAACCAATTACAGAAGAGAAAAATGTATCCGATTCTGACTGCTTGCCAACGTAATTTTTACATTATTTATAATGAGTTTTCCACAGTATGGCACGAGGGAAATCTCCACTGCCTTCTTAGCCTCCTCTTATCCTATCTGAGTCTTTCTTTTAGGCTGATTTATGTACTCAGGCCTAGTTTAGGGTGGTAATCTTGCTAACCATTTAAATGTTTTCTTTTTTCTGGAATCTGTTAAATAGCTCCTTTCTTAGGAGAAAGGATACCACACAGCAGGCAAGAAGTGGTGATAAAAACAATTTGCTATATCTGTCATTTGTTAATATGAATGTGAGGTAGGAGGATTTAGACTTGCTCATAAATATTCTGTGACATAACAACTCCAGAAAACTCTGTCCACAGAACACAAATAAGAGACTAAGAACTTCTAATGCAAGAACTCTGAACAAGTGCTTCAGTCTGTAGCCGATAATAGTGAACACTGGCACAAAATTTGATACTGGATTAAGTATTTTTTGCCTTCAATTTAAATTTATAGCTCAAATACTTGATTATCCCTTCTGATTTCATGACACGGTGAAGTTTCTTGTGTGTTTGTTTTGTTTTGTTTTTAAAGACAGGCTTAGAATGAACCCTGTGTGAAGCGTTTAATGGCAATTTGTAATGGCCAATGCCAAACAGTTTTTTCTTTAGTGTACAGCGTGTGCAAACACAAACATACGCTAATGTCCTCCACAGAAATCTTTCATCTGCATAGATATGCTCAGACACCTCCACCTCCACCTCCACAGAGATATACCCCACCTTCCCATTGCTATATACACACATGCAAATCAGCACATATGCTAATTATAGTACACCTACACAGGTATTCACATACTTGAAAGAAGAGGAGGAAAGATGATAACAAAGATATGTAATGTGCACTATTTACTGCAAATTACATGAGGAGAGAGGGTGCTCTTTCCCTGAATGCACTATGTAGCAGGCCATGGGCTAACTCCCTTAGAATTGGCCAGAAGAATATGAATGCAATAAGGTTTATGCAATAGATGAGACAGGTTCCTGTGAGAGCTTGTAGGTGAGTAGGTTATTCCCCCTGAGAACAACTTAAAGTTAACTCATCTGTCACACAGGAAAAATGATCTATTTTATTATGGAACTTGCTAACTGTATAACTGTGTACTAAGAGACAAAGTTTTATAAGGGATATTTCTCCAGATCCCTTACCTTGAGTTTCTCAAATCGATCATTCAGGGATGCGACATGATGGTCTCGGTGACGACCTACCAGTTTGCATAAGGCACAGATCAGTTGGTCGTCAGATACACAGTACATGTTCACCTTCTCATTCTCATGGTCCAGGCAGGTGATCCCTCGAAGATGTGTGTCTGGCACTGGTTCCACCAGACGGTGGCTGGTGAAAGGTTTCTTGTTGGGGTGTGTGGCCCGCAGGCAGCGGTCACAGTAAGAGACCTCACAGGTGATGCACGTTTTTACTGCATCCCTTGGCGGGTCCTGCTCACAGAATTGGCAAGCAATTCGCTCACTAGACATGGCGGTGCTGGGCCTGTAAGTCCTCTCCCGACGGCTCTCACTTGGCGAATTAGGCCCACTGACTGAAGCCTTCTGGAAGCGATCAATAATGTTCTGCAGGGTCACATTCCTCTTGAGACCATCCAGGCCCCGGTGGTTAAGCGAGATAACATACCTGCATGTAGGACACTGGAAAGCAGTAATGGGTTCAATGGATTCACCAGAGCTGCAGCTTGAGACTAAGATGCGATGGGCACAGCTGAAGCAGAGGCTATGAGCACAAGGGAGCAGAAGGGGGTCTTCAAACAACTCTAGGCAGATTGGACAGGTCAATTCAGACTCCAGTGTTTCCATCTTTAGTGAAAATAATCCTGCTGGGGCATTAAGAACCACAGAGGCTGGGCTTTCACCTGTGAAGAATACAATACGAAAGTCATTAAGCATTTTCAAAGGAGAAGTGGATATAACATAATTATGCACTAACCAATGGAAGCTTTACATGCCGGGCTCCCCAGGGATGCTTGAGCAATAAGAAAGCGATTTGGGAATTAATCAGGAAGCCTTTCTTCCCCCTTCAAACCTTGTTTTTGAAAAATGCCTGAGTTTATTTTCCTGCACTAATAAATAGAACCGAGTGGCTACCTCTGAATCCTGGCTGACTGATTAACATTACCATTCCAGCTCACAATGTTGGCATGGATCCCACTGGCATCTCTTGTCCTGGGCTATGATGAGGCTGAGGCCCTGCAAAATTCTCAATCTCTATTCCCCAATATTGTTCTCTATTTCACTTCAAGGTAAAATATAGGAATCACTCCTATTTCACATCCCATGGGAGAATAACAAGGCCATATTTTAAACTAACTCTACTTTCTGAAAAGATTCCATTCGGAAAGCCTGCATGAAAAAGAGAGATCTTTAGAAAAATATAGTGCTTGGTATAGGATGATAAGCTCTTCTTCAGAGTGTAAACTTGAATTACTTCCTATTATCATACATGGAAATTTCTATTCCATCCTACTTCTAATAAACTGAGCTACTAGAGACCAAAGATGATAGTTTTCTTTTTTCTTTTCCTTGAGACAGTCTCACTCTGTCACCCTGGGTAGAGTGCCGTGGCATCACAGCTCACATCAACCTCAAACTCTGGGCTCAAGTGATTCTCTTGCCTCAGCCTCCCAAGTAGTTGGGACTACAGGTGCCTGCCATAATGCCTGGCTATTTTGTTGTTGCTGTTGCCATTGTTTAGCAGGCTCGGGCCTAGCAGGCTCAGGCTGGATTTGAACCCACCAACCCTGGTGCTTGTGGCCAGTGCCCTAACCATGGAACTATGGGCAAAGAGCCCACCCATCTACTTTTTAGAAATGAGGTCTCGCTCTGGTTAAGGCTGGTCTTGAACTCATGAGCTCAAGCAATCCACCCTCCTCAGCCTCCCAGAGTGCTAGGATTACAGGGAGGAGCCACCGTGCCTGGTCTTCTTTTTTCTTTTTGAGAGAGTCTCACTCTGTCACCCTGGGTAGAGTGCCATGGTGCAATAGCTCACTGCAACCTCAAAGTCCTGGGCTTAAGCAATCATCTTGCCTCTGCCTCCTCAGTAGCTGGGACTACAGCTGCACACAGAAACACCCCATTAGTTTTTCTGGTTTTAATACAGATAAAGTTTTGGTATTACTCAGGCTGGTATCAAACTCCTGAGCTCAAGCAGTCCACCCGCCTCGGCCTCCCAGAGTGCCAAGTTTACAGGCAGGAGCCACTGCTCCCAATGCACATGGCCACTTAGCCAAGATGATAGTTTTCACTCTCACTTTTCTTTCCTCACCCACAGAAAACGTTTCATCTCATCAAACCAAATGAGGAATTATTTTGACTTTTCAACTTACTCAGCAATGGTTGCTGGTCAATGAGGAAGTCATATTACCTTGTGGCTTCAGTTTGCTTTTATTATTAAACACCCACTGTACTAGCACAAGCCTGTTATAAAGGTCACCTCCCATGTGTCTTTTCATCCTTCCTAAAACATAACAGGATGAAAATCAAGATCTAAATAGAAATTAACAAGGTAAGCAGCCAAAAATTTTCAGATCTGGTAACCTTTATTTTAGTGTGCATCAGCTAGTAAAAGAAGGTCAATCTGTCTATTCTCCCACAGACATTTCAGCACTAAACACTCACATACTTACTGCCATGGGTCTTCCAGTAATTAAAATACACACACACACACACACACACACACACACACATACACAAAAGGATGGTGTGGGGGCCCATGCCTGTAATCCTAGCACTCTTGGAGGCTAAGGCTGGAGGATCACTTGAGCTCAGGAGTTCGAGTCCAGCCTGAGAAAGAGGGAAACCCTGTCTCTACTAAAAACGGAAAAACTAGCAGGGCATTGTGGGAGGCACCTATAGTCCCAGCTACTTGGGATGCTGAGGCAAAAGGATCTCTTGAGCCCAAGAGTTTGAGGTTGCACTAAGCCATGATGCCCGGGCACTCTACCCAGGGCAACAAAGTGAAACTCTGTCTCAAAAATAAATAAATAGGCTCGGCGCCTGTGGCTCAAGCGGCTAAGGCGCCAACCACATACACCTAAGGTGGCAGGTTCGAATCCCCAGCCCAGGCCTGCCAAACAACAATGATGGCTGCAACCAAAAAATGGCCAGGCGTTGTGGCGGGCGCCTGTAGTCCCAGCTACTTGGGAGGCTGAGGCAGGAGACTCGCTTGAGCCCAGGAATTGGAGGTTGCTGTGAGCATGATGCCATGGCACTCTACCCAGGGGGATAGCTTGAGGCTCTGTCTCAAAAAAAATAAAAATAAAAATAAATAAATAAATAAGGCTGAGTGCAGTGGCTCATGCCTATAATCTTAGCTCTCTGGGAGGCTGAGGCAGTGGATTGCTTGAGCTCACGAGTTGAAGACCAGACTAAGCAAAAATAGCAAGAGCTTGTCTCTACTAAAAATAGAAAAATTGAAGGTGGTGCCTGTGGCTCAGTGGGTGGGGCGCCAGCCCTGTATACCGAGGGTGACGGGTTTGAATCCAGCCCTGGCCAAACTGCAACAAAAGATGGCTGGGCGTTGTGGTGGGTGCCTATGGTCCCAGCTACTTGGGAGGCTAAGGCAAGAGAATCGCCTGAACCCAGGAGTGGAGGTTGCTGTGAGCTGTGATGCCAAAGCACTCTACCGAGGGTGATAAGGTGAAACTCTGTCTCTACAAAAAATATATATATATATAGGAAAACTGAGGCAAGAAGATTGCTTGAGCCCAAGAGTTGGAGGTTGCTGTGAGCTATGATGTCACAGCACTCTACCTAGGGCAACAGAGTGAAACTGTATCTCAAATACACACACACAACTAAGTTACTCTTAACTAGGGAAAAGATATAAAATATATTTTATTAACTGAAAATGTTAATCCTATTTATAGGGAAGAGAAAGGCACCTTTTGCTTTTGAGTAGCTTCTTATTCATCATCTATCACTGGGGACCCTTATCAGGGCTTGAAAATTTGACTCTGCTGTTGATATTTGTTCAGACAGTCATTTATCAGTGATCTCTACATATCTCACAGGATACAGAAATACTGAATACAATTATACCTTGTGTATAAGTACAATAGATGTATACCTAAAATCTGTTTCTAAATCAAACCTTTAAAAGTGCATTAAACTAACTAGCTATTTAATGGAAATCAATAGAAGTTGGGCTATAACAGTAAAGAATTGTTTTGTAAATCAGTCACTCTCAGTTGGGTTAGTAGGTTCATGTGTTTGTATAGCCACTTTTTTAAAGTGAGACATGTGGCATTTTTTATTTTACAATTTGTAAGTGCTAGAAAATTGGTGGCTGGTATTCTGTAGCTTATAACATCCATCAGCATTCATCTACAGAGATGAAACACTAAGACAATTAGAATGTACACATATAATTGAATCTGAGAATTGGAAAAGACTTTAGAGATGAAGGATTCCAACTTTCAGTGAAGGCAGGAAGATTGCCTTAGATAGATCCATCTGATATATCCCTCAGATGCTCGAATTCAGCGTATCTGTAAATGAACTTGTCATGCTGATCCTCACTCCCACAAAGCAAAACAAGACGCAGAGAGCACATCTGCTCCTCTCCTGATTTTCTGTATCTGGTGATTATCAACATCCAAGCCTAGAAAACTGAGTTCTCTCATTTACATGTTTATCACTTCAACCACTGGTAGCTTCCTGAACATTCTTTTTTATTTCATTTACATATTTGTATCTCCAGCTAACTCTTCTCACTCTTTGAAGGCACTATTTCATAGTTTTATTCACAGCATGGTGCCTCACCCAAACTAGGTACTGTATTCAATAACTGTTAGTGAAGCAACCCTTAACCAGAAGAAGGGAGCTCATATTTATTGAGCACCTCCTGCTTTCTAGGTACTCAGCTAAGCACTTTACACATTATTTCACTAAATTCTTTCAGGAATCCTGTAAGGAAGTTACTATTACTATGTCTATCTTTTAGTTATGAAACTGGGGCTTAGTGTCATTAAGTCAATCAATCAAGAACATACATACCAGATCATGGGTCAGTCTAATGCCAATACCTGTGCTCTTTCCCCTACACCTTTATTTCAATCATCTCACCTCCTTCACTGAAGTTTATCTTGACTATTTATGAGGGGACTTCTAAATAGCTTGTTTCTGCTTCTATTTTTGTCTTTCTGTGTCCCTCTGAGTTTTTCTCAATCTGCCTAACTCGCTTTGAGTCCCTTCCAGAGTCACACGTCTCTCTTCAGACCTATCTCCATGTCACACTACACTTCTACTACTATTTCTTCCAGAACTGTATGTCTGCATTCCTTAATGGCTGTCTTGGAAGCTACCTGGGTTAGTCTGGAGTATTGCTGAAAGGCATGCATAAGTGTTGGAAGCTATATAAAAGCAATTAAGAGTACCACAGTTCTCCTAAGTCTTAGGAGGGTGCCATATACATTCTTCTGTACAGAGGAAAAGCTCTTGAATTTTGCTCAGAGCCTCAAAATTTGTTCCTGAGTCAGCATGACACTTAAACTTCACTGTGAAATGAAAGTAGGAAGGTATGCTATGGATGAGGAGAATGCCTTGGTTAAGGTCAAAATAAGTTTGTTTTTCTTGTTTTGTCTTGAGGCAAGAAGTTGTTCCCTGTTGCCTGAGCTGTAGTACAGTGGCATCATCATGGCTCACTGCAATCTCAAACTCCTGGACTCAAATGATCCTCTCGCCTCAGCCTCCTGAGTAGCTGGGACAATAGATATACACAATTTTTTTTAGTAGAGACAAGCTCTCTCTGTGAAGACCAGGCTGGTCTTCAACTCCTAGCCTCAAGCAACTCTCCTGCTTTGGCCTCCCAAAGTGCTACAATTACAGGCATGAGCCACAGCACCCAGCCTAAAAT